TGCTTTATAAACTTTATGAATGCTGTTGATTATTTTGGTTATTTGATTCAGGATAGTAAAGCTTGTGTCTTAAATGCCAAGCTATACTTGCCGATGCTGATATTGTCCTAAATTGATGAATGATATTCCGAGGGATGAAGTAGATGTCATTGTCTCTTAAGTTAAAGTGAGCATACTGAACRCCTTCACGTCTTAACTGGTTAAGTTTTGCATCATCAACCCAGGATACACACTGTGGAAAAAGTGAACAAATGTGGTTGGAATTGGTTTGAATTATTCAGAGTTTTCTCCAGKTACGGTTGTTTTCATCTCAAAAAGTCTTTTGGGAATAGAGGTCTTGCCCCAATAAGACACTGTACTTTACCATTTCAATCCAAAATGATGAATTTTGACGTGTGGTCCAGCATGCATTTCAACCAATCAGGCTGTAGTCAAGCATGCAGATCAGATTTTTGTCTTTCAAATTTGTTTTCCCATCAACAATTAGTAAAACAAATTTATGGGACTAATTAAATGACAAAAAAAGTGGGCAACATATTCTGCTAGTTGTGGTATATACTTCTAGTTTAATATAAGGCCACAATAAAAATGACCTATTCATTCAGAATAAATGCAAATTGTTATACAAGAGAATGTGCTAGCACTGAGCAGTTAAGAGCTTTGAACTTGAKTATATAATTACTAGTTATAATTAGYTATTATTACAACAATTTCAACAGCCAATTTTCTCACCTGTGATACTGGGGGTTCATGGAGGTCAATCTGTAACTTCTGAACAAGTTCCATGAAGTTTGAGGGATGAAAACATATAACATCTTTACAATACCTGTTGATTTCACTCCTGTCAAACAATACAATAAGCAATCATTGTAAATTTTAATCTTTTTCATGTTCTACCAAAGACATCAATATTACTGGCAAGTGTTAGCTAAATTGTTTACTAATATGTTTACAGTGGGAATAAATGCTTAAACAGTGTAAATGTGAACCTATTACTATTCTCTCTGAATTTTATCTAGTCTCTACCATGTATCAATGATTGTTTCTGTACACTTTCTTTGATATGCAGAAGTTTGTCCCCCTCTGGTGACCATAATCCTTGGCATAAAACAATAAAATGTTTTGATGTGATGTAATTATGCCATAGAGCAATTGATTACATTGTAAAGGCATAAAATTGCTCGGCATTATGGTGGGCCGTGTCAAAGTATCTTATTTTACATGCAGCAGCACTGATCAATGCATAAAACAAACACACATCAACCTTGTCTGCAACTCACGTCAACTAAAACTTTTAAATGAAAAAAGATCACAGTCCAGACAATCTTTCAAGTTGGTAATCTGTACAATGTCATTCTGTGGGTCACCATACAAGAGGAGGCAACGGGCTAAACTGTCTCTAACATTTCCATACCTTTGCTTTTGTGTATGTACACCTTTGATGATTCCCACAGCAGCCGTGGTCTGTCTGTCAAACCCTTGCCCAACATGATCTGCATGACACTTTGTCCTGTCTTCAATCAAAGTCTCTCGTCGTTCAGATGTCCTTGGTAAGTATTGTAGGTTCTGAAGTTCATTTACAGTGGCCCTATGAAATGAATAATTTTGGAGCATTTTGGAATAGCATATTAAGTATAAAATGAACATCAATCAATAGAATTGTTCATTGGAAATCTAGTGTGTGTACATGTACATCCATTCCAAACCAACATTAATTAGGAAA